ATCCCCACGGGCCTGTGTGCGAACGTCTCGCACGGCTAGCTAAAAAGAAGAGGTATATAATTATTACTAGCGAGTTTTTTGCCCGAAGGGCAAACAAACTCGCTATGGTCGCGCCTTCGGCGCTCATTGTCCAGGCCAGTGATTCATTAATTCATTTTTGAAGTGGCAAAAACGTATGAAAATTATGTGCCTGTCGGAATATGTGTCATGGGGGGGACGAACCTATATTTTTTTAAATGGAATAATTACTCCTATTATTTCTTGTGTGCCTAACTTCAAATCTCTCTATAATCTGGCCTGAGGGACATATTTCAAAAGTCGGATTTGCACTCAGCAATTGAACAGGAACTTCTGCTACAAGTTTGAACTTACCTCAGTTCTTTCTTTCATTAGATCAAAGAAGATGCTGGAAAATTCACCTTTTGCGTAAAAAGTGCCCTCAGGGGTTTAACCTACAAATGAATGCTTTTACTGAAATTGGCACTCGGAAAACTATTAATACTTGCCTACCAAGTTTCAGCCTTATCCGTTTCCTATTTTCGCTGGTGCCAAAATTTATTTGGAAAAGCCGACCCAGCCAAAAGCTCAACCCTAAGGGTATGCACCACAAAATTTGAATTTTTCTGAATTCAACATCACCCCAGTTATGCATGAGCCAAGTTTCACCTTTCTATTTCTGCCCAATTCGTTATGAGGAAAAAAAAAATTATTTTAAAACGTCACCCTAAAAAAAATATACCCCTAGAGCAGTGTTTCCCAAACGGTGTGCCGCCAGAAAGGCTTAGGTGTGCCGTGAGATTTGAGAGTGGACAAAAAATATAAAATAAAAACCTAAAACTAAAAAAAAAACTTAAAAGCAAGAGGGAAAGCCGTCTCTCAGAGGAAAACGAGCTTAGAGTTGCACTATGACGCCTCGTATCAAACTGCTGTGTTCAGCGAAGCAAGCACAAGTTTCCCATTGAAAGTAAGTAAATGGTTGGGTGTGCCGTGGAAAGTTCAAGTGTCCTTATGTGTGCCGCAAATAAAAAAAGATTGGGAACCACTGCCCTAGAGGGTGCATCGCAAAAAATACATTTTTCCTGAACTCCTTGGCTCAGTACTCACGTTTATGTAAAGTTTAAGCTTTCCACGTTTCTAGGTTTGACTGAAGTAAAATAAACTATTGGAAAACATCTCCCCCTGAAATTTGTGCCCCCAGGACATACATCTGAAATGAAATTTGTGCCCCCAGGGCATTTACCTCTGAAGTCTGAATTTTTCTGAACTCAGCACCCCAATAGGTAGTTATGTACCAAGTTTCACCTTTCCATTTCTGCCCAATTCGCTAGGACAAAAAAAATTACTTGAAAGCATCAACCCCAAGAAATATCCCCCCCCCAGGGCATACATCCGAAATTTTATATTTTTCCTGAATTCAGTGTCTCAATGGGCGCACACCTATGACAAGTTTCAGCTTTTCATGTCTCTCCGTTTGGCCGAAGCAAATATATACATTTTATTTTGATTTGAAAACATCTCCCCTTAAATTGTGTGCCCCCAAGGCATGTACCTCTAAAGTCGAATTTTTTCCAAACTCTACATCCCAATAGCTAATTGTGTACCAAGTTTCAGATTTCTAACTTCTCTAGAACATGGTTAGAATTAGCGTCAGTCACTCACTCAGTCACGATCGGCTATATATACCTGTATATAGATAATTTCAGCTGCGAAAACAGATCCTCTTGCTTTCGTGAATATGAGCCTTTTGGAAACGAACCGCGGACATGACAATGGTGGGGGACGACTAGAAATGTTGATCTTTTCGCAAGCAAAGATTGATTTCATCAAATGGTGATGTACTAAAAAAAAACTGCTAAAATTACGTTTTATTTCTGTTTACAAGGAGACCAACGTGGTCAAATTTGCTCATCAACATGATCGTGAGTGCAAGGAAAGACGTTCTTTGGAAAGGTCCCCTTTCCCTCGGCTCGCTCAGCTTTCTAAGGAGGGGCCAGCCCCCCCCCCCCCCTCCCTCTTGGTGCTCCGATGAATTAAACTCCTCCTATAACTGATTACTATTTCATTTAGTATGTGATTTGAATTATTAATAATTAAATGTTTGCCCATTACTGTCTAGGGAATGAATCTTTATTCTGTAAACAAAATGTGAACATTCTTCGAATGTAACAAGAATGGTGTCCAAACAACTCAAAGTATGGGTTGTTTGGACATACAATTCGTGACTCATTTCCGCATCAGAGCAAATTAAAATGCATTTTGTGGAAGGCGAAACGCCACTTTCCGCTGAACTGTGGTGCGCCTTGCGGCATTATTTCGTCAATATGGAAGTGGGTCATTAATTCCGAACAACTCATACATATCTTTGTTTCTGAGAAAACAAGTTCTGTCTGCATTTCTTGAGAATTTTTGGATTGACAAAAGTTTATTTTAAATATGGTAGTTCACATCATGCAATTATTTACTTGCGTGTAGTTAATTATACCACCAAATAGAGCTCCTCTGTCTCTATCTCTTGCCTAGCTTATAAAGATTTGCTCATCCTATTTATCACTCTCTCTTGTTGCAACCAAAAGACTTCCAATATGTTAACCCTCCTATTACCGTTAAATTTCACATACATCGAATACATCGCATTCTTCATCGCCTTCACTCATCAAAATATGGAAAGAATATCTTCACCGCCACGCGCCCTCGCGCCATTTTTCATGGTCTGTAGGATCAGCAAATGCTTATCGAGTACCACGTTCCAAACATGCACTGCACCCATGACATCTAGTGGCGAGTACACAACCCAGAAAACACACTCACTGCGACAATTTCCTATTTTCTTGAAGGCAATGCAATAAATTTTCTTGGAGGTTACCATTATTGATCATTATGACAACGTTCACCCCATGATACTGGATGGAATTTTGAGCAAAATAAATAGAATTAAGTAACGGTTTTAAAATTCCGTTTATCGTTACGAACTTCGTCGAGGAATATTACAAATTAAAAAATACGAGACCTGAGGTAATATTTTCCGCTGAGAAATGAACGGACAAACATTTACTTAGGATCATCATTGGCCCCATGGTTAAATCAAACTATGTCATTTTCCATACCACTTTCCACACATCGAGCGTCAGGCGGAAATGTAGTGTTTGCCCGATTTGAACTGGGTGGGCCGACGGCTAGGATCGAACCCTGAGCTGGCGGACGGTCTACATCAGGGATGCCCAAAGTGCGGCCCTCCAAGAGCTTTTGTGCGGCCCGCGAGGAGTTTTGGAAAAAAAAGAGAGAAGTTTATGATTATGTAAATGAATGAATGATTTTATGTACTGCGGAATGAACGAGGTATAGCCTGACTAAGTGTAAATTCACTCACGGGTAATTACGGTCTATTCCCGGCAAAAATTCTCGGATATGGAATCATCCTGAAACTTTTATTGAGGGTGACCATGAGGTGCTTAACTGGACTTGACATCCAGGCGCCATCTGTAAGGGTGAGAGAATCCGCAGAACTGCCAGATTCTGCTGAAAATATGCGTTGCATGCATCATTCCAAAGAGCTTACTTGCATTTTTTTCGCGCACAAATTTCTCTGATAGTTTCATACTGTCAGATTCCTCCCAATGGCCGCCACAACTTCGCAAATATACCGCAGTAGAAGATTCAGATGAAGATAATGCATAACATTTCATGGCACCTTCTGATATCCCTATCTATCTCATTAAGAAGGGGTGAAGGGAGAATAGGAGCGAAACTCTGGACTTTATTGCACCAGCCTCATCCGTAGGGCTGGTGTGTCACCTGTCTCTCAAATCACTAAACAAGCAGGAATAATGTCGAAACTGGCTCAATCCACGAGGACTGGGATTATCAGTCGAGCCGTGGCTCCATACCAAGCGACAGCGTGGATTTGCGAGTTACAGTTTGGATTCTTTTTTTGGTGGCAATGTCAGCAGTGCGTAGAAAACCTCGTATCGATGAAGAAAATCGTATATTTCATGACAAGTGGACTCAGGAATACTTTGGGTGACTTGCACCAATGGAGGAATCGGATTAGTTTAAAAACGGGATGAACACGTTTGCTAAAACATGTTTAAGAAAGTATTTCTTTGACATGCCCCACCCAAAATAATATCAGTTTCGTGAACACATTTATCCACGACTTGAACACTTTTAAAAACGGTATGGGAGCCCTTGCAAAGAGAATGATGAGTAGTGTGCCATCTGCTGCTCCATTGTCCGCACCAAGTCGGTCACAGTTTCCTTGGAAAGAGGAAACCTTCGGAATTCGTCTCCATTGAACCATTCAAGAGGATTGAACTGATCTCTGATAGTTCGAAAGTCCAGGCGAACCTGGCAGTTTAGTTCAGAATAAAAAAAGCCTCTTCCTACCTCTTCATAAGTTTCAATTTCCACCGTCGCTGGATGATGGGAAGCATGAAAAATGAGGCTCACTCCGGCTAAACACCATGATGTGTTAGGTCAAAACTAAGAAAATATTTTTTTGGTATAATATTTACCATGCAGAAAATCAATTTTCCAATAATGCGGCCCCCATGATCCAAAACTTTTGGCACCCCTCTCTACACTGTAAACCATCCATCCTTTTCTCTCTCTCTCCAAGGGATTCGAAACTCGTTATACCCATCCGCGTGACGCAATCATTGACTCTCCGCCCACTTGCACGCACATTATTCACGACCTCGCGACGGCTTCTGGGCATTCTGTGTTGCTTCCCAGAAACAAGCACATTGGGTGCAAAGGTGAAGCATCTCGTCACAACCTTCATGCCGGCATTTTGCTAGCTATAGGAAGTCCCAGACGCGATCCGTTCTTTCGTATCCGATTTGAGGACGCACTCAGTGGGGGAAAGAAGGCCGTTCGTGTCGTGATTTCTCCGGATGATCTCTTGCATGCATATCCTCGGAATACCTAAAAAGGTCCCGAGTTCAAGTCGGCCTGAAATCCCGCATCTCGCTCAGCTTCCTCGTCAGTCCTCCGTGTCATCCCGAGGAGAGAGAATGACGGCGACTCCGCCTCTGCATTTCTCGAACACAAGTTCTCGTGAACGATCCCGTAGTGCTGCAGCAGCTCGATGCGCGCACGGATATTGCGAGGTGCCTCCGGGGCTGATCCCCGATGGGAAATGGAGTCCCCACATCCGGAAGCATCACTGGCTCTTCCCCAAGAAAAGCGCTTCGGAGTCCAACGTCCACGCTAGGAAACACGGCATCCACTATTTCCCTGGCCATTCCCAGTGAGAAAATATTCCATTCACCTTCCTCTCTTTTTCTATCGTCCGCATCCGTAATGCGGCGTGTCTGATGTGAAGTACGGTACCGTGCTATCGGTATAGCGACTGCAAGTTTCCTTTTTCCTCTCTCTTATCGAGCATGAGCCGCGGCGAACAATGAACCACTTGAGATTCCATTCATTGTATGGCAATTCGTTGCATCTGATCCTTACTTAACCCTTGCTCGAGGGTACTACAGGGAATCTATAGCGACCTTTCTCTCATCCTCTTTTTCGCTACGAACTCCAATCGGTGAGAAAAAAATAGGGGAATATATCATTTCAATCAAGATGCATTGTATGCAGATTGTCCGGTCTTCGTGATTTCCGATTTCGAGGAATAGGGAAAGGAAATGCACTGACCTTTCCCACGCGCAGTGAAACGGTCCATTCACGGATGCACCCGGACTGCTTTCCCCATTTGCTAAGTTCTCTTCGCAGTTCCGTTTTTCCCCCCGTTTTTTTCCCTTTTTTCCCCCTTTTTTTTCATTCCTTTTCTTTCCACTTTCCGTACGCTCACATGGTCCTGCTAGCCGATATCGAGGAAACCAGAGGTTTGCAACATTTAGGAACTCCTCTTGAAGTGTTCTATCATATTGTACGTTAGTGCCTTGGAGGTACTTGGAGGTACTAACGTAATCGTAAAGGAAAATTATCCTTTTTCCCTAGAACTTCCCACCCAAGTTGAGATTCAGGCTTGCGTTTCGAACATGAACATCGGCACACCCCTCCTGCGTGTGCGAGGTCTCTCAGACCAGTAAGTTTTACCCTAACGGCCCGGCACTTTAAGAGATGTAAACGTTTGTGGTTGTGAAGTTTCTTGTGAAGACATGTGAAGTTTCTCGTGCCGTTATAGAAATCACGATCTCGTCAGACTTGGGGGCCAAAGAAAATGGATAAACGTCGTGACATGTGTCGAGAACTGTTGGTGCTTGTCCTCAGGATGCACCTTTTTAGCAACTCAAGCACCGAACGCAGTGTGCCCTGAATAGCTCGACAGGATTTAACCCCGTATGCATAGTCCAATTCTCTGACGCGGTGGTGGCTACTATCAATCGACCCTCTGTAGTTTCTATTCCAGGCTCGTGTAGGCCTCACCTGCAGTTCGCCCTTGAGTAAAAACGATGGATCCGATCTCAACATATCATGTACCGTATTGACGTTACGTGGCATCACATTACATCGACATGACATGTACACAGATATGAAACTCTTAAGGCCTTCGAATGGGGGCACCTACTTCGTTGCAGCGTCATGTCGGAGGGGTTATGTGCCTATCTGATCTCAGTATCTTTTGTGTAGTTTATTCGTATACCCGTAGACAACGCATCCTGGCATCACCAGTCTCAGAAAAAAGAGAAAGTAACTAAGGCCATCAAAATGGATTAAATCACTGTTTGAGATGCTTTTTATATCAGTCTAATGCATGGATCGAGGTTGTGCTTGCTAAGTATCCCAATTAACCTACGTCGATCAAACGCTTGAAAATTTCTTGAAATTGCAATCAGAGATTTCATCACGGCATAGCTTCGCAGTAAGATTCTCAACAATGACCCAATTGCGATGGGATTGAGGGGGGAAAAAAAGGCAACTGCCATCACGAATGGCGCCGCCCTCTTTCTCCATTCCTCGAGCGTTCGGCCCAGGTTCGGCCAGTTTTCTCTGCATTGCCTCATCATATCACCTTGAAAATTTTCTCAATATTCTACACATATTCGAGAGTTCCCGTTCCACGTTTCATTGGCATAATTTTTCTGATACGAGCTTGTGTACCAATACCATCAAGATTTCTCAACATCCTGGCCGTGTTTCTTTTTTGGTAATGAGTGTATTATGACAGACGAAGAGCAACCCGAAAAACTTCAAATCTGGATTTATACTTGACGAAAAAAAGGAAACCGAGTGAAAAGCGAAGGTTCTATTAAAATCTAGGAGACAGGGGCTTACGTTCGTTCGTGTTCTCCCTTCCGTCCCTTTTGTAGTTGCGTAACCCTGGTCTAATCCAGATGAGCGTGAAAAACGTTTAAAGATGGGAAGTGGTAAAACCAGAGCGCGATTTTGATAGGCTAATAATCATTTTAAAAAAATAGCATTGCAAGGCTACTGGCAAGGTTGGAGAGAGATCGTTTACACCCATACCGTTCTCGTCATTCATTACTTAATTCAACCACAATACTCATATACCTCTGCTCTTTATGGAGCTATTTTCGCGAAACTTGCACATTGCCCAGATTGACATGTTCCCAACCGATGTCTCAAATTTCACTCATATTCGTTCAGCCGAAACAAAACTATGAATAGTTACTTTTACAAATGTTAATATTGAAAATGAACAGTTGGCGAAGTCTCTTCGGAGTGACATGACTCCGCTTGCTACCTTCTCCAACGTAAACCTGAATAAAATTATAACAAATTTTATTTAGTGATACTAGCTGAATCATCAGTTACTAATTGGAAAATGAAGTACTACAACCATCTGCTAGAAAAGGTCAGCTTAAGAATGAATTTCGACAAGAGGCGTTCGATGTAGCCTGGACGATAAGCAACCACAGCAAAAGCGTTTCTCCTACTCGACTGTCAGCCCCACTTCTGTCCGTTTTCGGAATCCGACTTCCTTTGGTTCATTTGCTCATACCCGTGTCCTAGGAAAAAAAAAGTTGAAGATTTGGTTGATTTGAAAAGGATGTAGTTCCCAACTTCATGTGCTTGGAGACATCATTCGAAATATTCCAGAAAATTTGTGGAATAACACATCCAGAATTGAGATATGATACAAAGAATACTTTTCTTTTCCGCGTCGAAATAGTGAGCGTCAGTGTTCGAACCCCGGCTTCTTGCTCCACGCGATGGACTTGGCCCCACATCCAGTTCGGTCGACCTGGTAGGCACCACTTTCACAAGTAGGATCCATCCAAGGGTAGGAGGGATGGGAATATTTTTTCCCTCTTCCCCTTCCTACAGGCTAATCCGCCGATCACTAATCCGTTCAATGTTTTCCTACCTCTAGGGGCGATTTTCTCAATTCGATCAGAACGGAGTGCGACTTCTATAGTACCGCATGACTTCCATTTTACCATAAAATTGCCTACAGCTGATTCTAGCATAAACTAGTTAGCTCTGCAACTTCACGAATATACTTCTCGCCGTTGAAGCACACGATGATGATTCCACATTGGAGGTCTGTTAGCTGTGCACCATCCAACATCTTGCGGGGAACATCAAGGAAGTAGTACTTTGACAGGATATAATCAAGTTTTCCGCTGTGTATTCTGCTTTGTATTTTTTTTTTTAACTTGTTCAACTTGCCCGGTTGCAGACCTCGATCAAACCACGTAGTACATTCTATGCGACCATTGCGTTTATTACACATGAATTTGGTCTATATCAGAGGTGTCAAACATAAGGCAGCGGGCCGGATCCGGCCCGTGGAGGTCCGGTCCGCCGTCTGTTCTTGAAATTTCCGCCTGGATTGACTCTCAGCACCCTCCGCGCACGATCTTATGGGTGCGGCCCGCAGGCGTCTGCAAGGTGAGGAATGCGGCCCACCGACTGATTTAAGTTTCACACTCCTGGGGTCAGTTCCTCGCTTCTGCTAAATTTAAATCTAAATCTAAATATAAATATAAATATAAATATAAACTTAATCTACTCTAAAAGTAGCCTAAAAACAAAATATTTAGATTTAGACTAAGGTTTGCATTTAGATTTAGATTTTTAAGTTTAGCAGAGGCGAGGAAGGTCTATATCATTAGAAAGTAGGGGTATCCCAAAATCTTTGGAAGGGGAGTGATTTGTTATAAATGAGAGCGGGAAAAGTAAAAATGGCAACATTTTATTCAAGATTTAAAGGTCAACGTTCGTGTAGGGACATGAAGAGGTATTTTTTTCCCATTGCGACAAGTGTCAAGATCAAGCGTTCACATAGAGGAAGGTAGGCCAACACTCGTCACGGCACAAAGGAACACCTCTTTTACGATAATTAAGAGTTATTGAAGAACGGAATGGCCCTTGCAGTGAAAATTTTCACTAGTATCCCAGGCTCAAAAATTAATGGGCGGAGTTTGACCCTTTGGAACGGGATGTTGGTTCAAGTGCGGAAGTTAATGTTAAGCCTCATCCACTTTCCTTCTCGTTCTCCTTTCCGTTTCCTCTTCATTTCGCAACATCAGTCAAACTGGAGGTTCACAACTCTGAAATCACACTCCCGAAAGCAAGAAAACAAGGTATTGTGTGTTTATGAAACTTCTGCGTAGACATAAATTATTGATGGTGGCAATACTGAGAAACCAATCTTGCTCAAAACTCACCTGTTCCCCATGAACTTCTCACCACGAGCATCCCTTTATCTTCATGCCATTGAAATTCAAACCCGACTTTTGGGGTTATGATTTCCATAATTTGATGGCAATCTGGATTTTGAATACGAATATGCCTGGCGTGAAACGTAAGGCATTACAAAATGTGACGAAGGCAAATGTGACGAAGAGAGCATTTAGGCTTTGACGCGAATATCTATGCCTTTGAATGTGAACTCCTTGGTGAATTTTGGCTTTATAAAACTCGTACCGTTTCCTTGGGTCTTCCATTAAGAAACCACGTTCGGATTTCACATTTTCCAAAGCCTGTCAGCTTTTTAAATTAAAATTAATCAATCTAGTGAATAAGAGTGGTAAAAACGAGGATGGCATTTTTGGAAGGCAAGAAAATCTCTAGCTGTACTTGTAAAAGCTTCTCATATTCTACTTTCTATTAGCAGAATCAACACTTTTTCTTGTTATTCTTGATTTCCTGAGTGCTGGGAAAGCTTTTAGGAGTTTTTGAAAATGTGATTTCTCCCCTAACTGCTTTTCATTGCCTTACATCTTTGCAGGTGACTATTTCGCTCCGGACTCATGAGAGTGAGATCCCTTAAAATTCTTACGCCTTCTTGTTCGAAAAAAAAGTTTTGGTGGCATAGTGAGTCGAAAGATCTGTTAATGGCATCATTATAATTAATCTGCGAAAGAGAACATACTGAACTCAGATGTATGCTGATACAGACAGTAGCTCCAACACGTGAACAATCATACGGGGGAAAGGAAAGGGCTCTTGCGTACTGCTCTTGCTTGCATAACGGGCGTTAAGGCGGGATCAGACGCTATGATTATGCTCATATGTGACTGTTCATATATGAGCTATGAGCTCGTGAAATCAGGGTTTATGATCGAGTGCTAGACTCAAATGTGAGTTGCACGCCAACACATGAGGTTTCCAAACATCCTTGATTATATCATGAATGTTCATGAACCTGTGTCACCTTCACAGATTGGTGTTCTAATTATTTATTTAAAATTTATTTCTATGTTGATAGCGCTTCTCGAATTATTGGCTGACTTTTTTTTCTCAATGCCTCATAAAATAAAAATTCCGCTTCCCCAGGGTGTCCTGATGATTCCGATTCTCCCATAGGGGTAAGCAAAATGTTGGAAGCAGCGGCAACAAAACTGGGAGATTTGAAATCTTCCCAGTGAGAAGTAACACTAAGGAAGGTTATCGAGACGATTCCCACGAACTTGTGGGTTCATAGAAATTCTGTATTCTGTTAAAGATATTCAGAATCTCTCTAAGTTCCGCAAAACCCTACGACATGCAGTACACATTTTGGATTAAATTGACAGTGCTTCTCAGAACGAATTGTCAAAAAATCCTTGCTTGAACCGAAATGGAAAATGTGAATCCGTTTCCTCGCCTCCTCTATAGCCATTTTCACTCCCAAACACTTCTCTCGTGATTTGAAATTAATAACATTCTCAACTTTTCTCAACACAATTCCGAAGAACAGCAGTGCTTCAGATCTTACCATTCGCTGTCTGAAGATTCCATCTGCTACGATCAGGAATCTATAAATGCATTGCGCTAGAGAGAAACTCAGCACGCAGAAGAGGTGTTTCTCAAAGCTCACAAGGTTTTCTCATAACCGTCTGGTCAATTGCATACAAAATGATCTCGACTTATGAGCTGTCACATGCAAGCAAAATAATAGCGTTTGATCGCGCCTTTATGTTATGAGCTAGAGAAAGTTGAGGTTACCTCTGAAAAATTTCCTTCTTCCGTGCAAGAACCGATTCGGAGGTTCTGACGCTATCCGCTTGGTGGGGCTTTCAGCCAATGAGAGGTATGCTTGCGAGGGAATCCGAATATCAACGGCAAACCGAGCGAGGGAAAGGGAGAGGCAGAAGTACCCTGTACCTCAGAAGCCAAAACTGCATGTTTCAACCTACGTGAAGGATAGAACGTCCGATATTGAGATACGTAGTGGGAGCCGACTAGTCAATCCACTCTGGAACGTGAGCCATCCAACGTGCGTCGTGCTGTATATCATTCCCCTTTAGGCCCCTCTGGAACCTGGGGCTAGTTTTGTCCAACCAGTCACTACAGCCTACTTGATTGGATCGAGATGTAGGTCAGCGCCAGAACTCCAGAAAAAAAGGTTTCTGCTGATCCGACATTGAACGGGCTCGCTGATTAAATCTCTGGACTTCCTAAATCTAGGTGACTGTACTCGATCAGATTGTGCAAGGCAAATAAATCAGCTACAAACGAATTGTGTATTTGTGCATTGTTATCCCTTACAGAAGAAGCAAATACAGTCAGTACATACAGGATGTATTTGGACATATTTGACTATATATGCGTCAAACTTGGCTGGGAGGAGTTAAGGGACTTTATACGGTCAAAACATGATATGAACATATATGGACATATTTAGGTCATATATATTTCAAATAAAGAGCCTATGTATGGCCATATTTGATATAATGTATTAAGTCTTCATTTGGAACTCGCGAACGGGACACCTGACCATGTCACCCTCAGACAGGACGACATTCATCTCTCTGCCAATTATTTCCTTCTGCACCGTTGATTTCTTATACGAACTGCGCTTGTTACAGAATATTCCTCGTCCTGTGCCCCCGACCTTTCAGACTGCACATTCTACAAGCCACAAATCCGATCGACCATCCCCTAGGATTTAGTGAGTTTGTATTAATATTATAGAAAAGACGTTCCTGCTGCTTGCACGGGTGTTGTCTTTGCATCTCCCTGTTGAGTAATCACGTGTCACCGATCAATGAACTTGATCGATGCACCTCGCGTTGTGAGCTCGTACTTTTCAGTTTCAGTCTTTCGCTGTTATTTTTGGAATACTCTGGAGAGAAATTGGATTTTTTCAATGTGATACGACCCAAAAAATATGGTCCAAATGAACACAAAAAATATACATGGGAGTTTGTTGAGGTGTCGTGCCAGCAGAAGGCGTCAGCCCCCCCCCCGCCGTTACACGGAATCTTGCATTGTACGAGGCCTGATTCACTTGGATATCTGGAGATCACATGCTTATAACAATAGATTTACATCCTGTTCTTTTCGTGCACGAGAGAATTCAAGGTTGCGCGTGTACAGTATAAAATGTAGAATTGACGTCCATGATGCTAACACCGGATGCCGGGGGGCAAATAACTGAGAGCGAATCAGATAGAAATCTGTGGCCATTACGAAACGAGCCAGAGCTGGCCCGTTCGACGTGTTTTCACTCTTTTTCTAGTTACCCCTGGCTTCGACATGAGCGAAAATCTCCCTTGGTCCTCGCGTCTCAGCTTTCACTTGCATGCACCCAATCATCAGCCATCACGGTGAGCTATGTCTTCAAGCGAGACCCTTCGATCCCTGTACGTCTGACAAGTGGTTAGTGGTTAGTGGTTGCAATCGTCATTAATGAGGGGGGTATAGCACTGAATGAAGCATATACAGCGACGTTCCTTCCTGAGCTAGGGAACTACTAGAATATCTAACACTCGACAGAAAAGTATGAAGCTCATATAAAGGGGGAAGGGGAAGGAAGTCAATCTCAAAAACACTTCCTGGCCACTGTTCCCAAATGGGTCGCGACCTACTGACAGGATAAGTTACTCCAGCTTCAGTTTTTATAAGCACATGTTGATCAATTGAATCTCGGCTAGAAGGCTTATCAAATGCGCTTTGGTATTGCATAAACTCGAAAACATCTGCAAGAGAAAATGCAAAAAAATATCGAATCCCATAGTCTTCCAGGGTCATTTCTGGTGGAGTCAGTTTTTCTAGAATATCTGTAATTTGATCTGTAGGTTCTTCATCTGAAACTTTGCATCACCCCAGAGCGTGACGCAACCTCACCAAGTGAATGCAGCCCCCCTCTTAGGAAGTCAATCGTATTACAGATTCAAGTCCCTAGAAGATAGTAGTAAAATCTAATGCCGCTTGAAAAGTAGCTCTGAAGTGTCTTTCTTGTCTAATGCAGACCAACATCGTGTATACCTGACGAATGGTGCATCAGGAAGTCCACGGTCTAATAATTTTCTCAGATTCAGGATTTAGTACCATGACGTACTTGTCTACTTTTCCAAGATCTGCATACTGTGTATATGGTGCTAAATGCTGAATCTGGGAGAGTGATTTGACTCGCAACTCCTGTAGCATTAAAAATCTCTGGTAGACCTGTAATCTGATACAGGAAGAGAAAGAAAAGGAATAACGTGAATCTATGAAATTTCACATTTTAATTCGTTGATCTTAGAAGCAAAATAGAAAAGGAACCAAACCTGTTCACAACCAGGTCTGCGTGACCGCGGTTTCCATTTTTTAGAACGTGTGATAGAATATTCCAGAAGAAAAAATGGAAAGTTCACAGGTTCAAAAGCCATTTCGTCTTACGACCCAATTGAGCAAAGATGGCCGTTTGATCCAATGGGATAATTTTTTCCCCCGGGGGGAAGGGGCAACTTTGGGCCAGATTAACTCGAGAAAAGTCAGCGCTATAGCACTGAATATAGGGAGTTTTTCGTCAGTCAGGGAAGCCGCCGAGCGCGAGTTTTCTCAAGCAAATCCCTGTCGGACGCGCAATGAAGGTTCCTGAAATTGGGCCACTTGAGCTGGTATACCACAGCTGCTTTGTGCATGCCCATCCATAGCTGCACCTGCCGTGCACTGAAGTGACTTTATATCAACATCGCATCCCATGAGGCATGGTTTTTTTTGTGCTCGAGTGCCGTTCACCCTCAAGTAACTTATTTATCATCACCCTGAAAAGCGACTTAGTGTCGCCTCTAGTAAGTTTTAGGATGAACATATTTTTCCTCCTTGACTCGCACTCTGATGCATAGGAACATCCTATGTACAAGAGTCCAGTTCAAGTGAAAAATTGTCTGACTCAAGTGAGATTGAAGTTGCTTGAGAAGCTGTTCTAGGGTTTGCGGTACGTCTGACCTTTCAAACTTCTTTCCTATTTTTGCGTGGTTAGGAAAGTGTCCCCTGGGCTTATGAGTCCAGGTTCCCCTGGTGTCTACAAGCGAAGGCTATCGTCAGAGGTGGGACAAGGAGAAAATAACCATGTGTACACGGGATCAGGTTCCATCCCGAACCTGGCTAGCAGACGACCCACTTTGGGTGAGGCTCTTGCTGACAAGATGGCGGAGACCAGTGTCGGCACTGCAGCCGTCGGCTGGCCCAACTCCCCACAGGATTATGAACTCAAGGATGTCATCGGTTCGTTTCCCACTTTCATCACCCATTCCACTGAGTCAGGGAGTTTAATCATCTGTTTTGCTGCATAGGAGTGGGAGCCACCGCTGTCGTCCATAGTGCCTTTTGCAAGCCCAGGAATGAGAAGTGTGCCATCAAACGCATCAATTTGGAGAAATGGAATACCAGCATGGATGAACTTCTGGTAGTCATAACAGTGCATCTCTTCCTCCCCATTCATTGTCATAATTATGGCTTAGGTGGACGATGAATGGTCACATTTTCAATTTTTGTGTTTTATTTTGACTTAGATGGAAGGGTTGCTTGCTCTTCCTTGACACTGGCATGGTTGAGTTGAATTCAGTGTTAACCCTTTGGCTACTGGTGTGGGAATGAAAGGCCTCCACCGACTTTCTCATTCTGTAGCACATCAGGGAGTAACTTTTTATGGATAATTTTTGTTTCCTTCAAAATTTAGAGAGTATGTTATCAGGAAATTTTACACACTGCTATCAAAATGCTTCACATGAAAAATGAGTGCAAAAATCTCAAAATATAGAAATGAAATGAGAGTGATGAGACCTCTTCTCTGTTATTTAGAAGGTGGGTAATGGGGAAACGTGGGAAAAAATCTACCCAAGGCATCCAGCATTTCATGGTGCAAGCTGTCACTATGAATAGTTCTGTAATTGATGATTTTCAGAGATTTGACTTCTGAATTCTGGGTGGAAAAAATGGTGCAGTGGTTAAATGAGTTTACTTAGTTTAGACCTCAATACCAAGTTCAATGAGGGAAATATATGCTATCATTTGAAAGCATGTATTTTGCTAAACTCAAAAATTGCCATTTTTTATTCAAATATGGGCATTTGAAAAAAGTTATGTTAGGTTCGATTAGGTGCCTTAATCTTAACCCTGGTTGTGTTAGTTTGACTGTTTCAGTTTGTTTGAGAACATACCATAAACAAGAGGTTCAGTAAACAAGACAATCTCAAAGATACTGCCACATCATTGTCAATGCATTGGCTACAAAATATACCACAACTTCTAAACTGCTTGATGGATTTTAGACGAGACAAGCACCTAACATGTGTAACATTACATTTAAATAACAGCTATGGGTTTAAGGGTGGAGTTTAATTTTTTTGGGGGTGGGTTATGTGGGAGATTATCAATGTAACAGATAAAGACATGAGTATAAAACAAGAGGAGAGGTAGTGGTGTGTTGTAATTGTGTTTGCATTCTTTTTTTTCTCAAAGGCCAAACCTATATTGAATCAGATATTTTCCAAAATTGGTGAACCTATTTTGGAATGACAAAAGTATGATAGTATATCTTGATAGCATGGTGGTATTGAACTTAAATCCATTGTGTAGCAAAGTTGCTTCAGAATGTGATGAGCTGTGATGTGATGTGGTAAGACAACAAACTCCTTTGAGATCCATTTTCAAAGTATCACTTGTTCCTCTTGCAGAAAGAAATCCAGGCAATGTCTTCTTGTAATCATGAAAATGTGGTGACATACTTCACAAGTTTTGTGGTTGGAGAAGAGTTATGGCTTATCCTGAGACTACTTGGGGGTGGATCTCTCTTGGACATCATCCGACACAAGATGAAGACTCAAGACTGCAAGCATGGTGTCTTTGATGAGAGCACAATTGCCACTGTATTGAAAGAAGTTCTGAGAGGCCTTGAATATTTTCATAATAATGGTCAAATTCATAGGTGAGATGGAAATCTAATATTGGAACTTCTGTGACACATATCAAGAATTCCAAGCTCCAATGACCTCTTGTTTCTACAGAGATATCAAAGCTGGCAATATATTGCTTGGTGAAGATGGATCAGTCCAAATAGCAGATTTTGGAGTGAGTGCATGGCTTGCCACTGGTGGAGATCTCACACGAACAAAGTCTCGACATACTTTTGTCGGCACTCCATGCTGGATGGCACCTGAAGTTATGGAACAAGTAAGATTTAAACAAGAATGCAATGTTTTGGGATACAATGATTTGTGATGGCATTAAACCAGGTGTCCCCAAAAGATGTTACATTTTAGAAAAACTTAATTTCAGAAATGGCTTTTGGCCACCAGGCTTCTAACACTGTAATGGTGGGCACCATGTGGAGAATTCACACTTATTCTCTTAGGGTTAATGCCCATTTCTATTCATTTTTGTGCTAAATTAAGTTTGTTTTATAACATATTCATAAAGTTTTTTCAAAATTTAACATCTTTTTGGGCACCTGGTATTCATTTGTTGTTATGTGCATGTCATCAAATGTAATGAAGAAGGTAGGGCCTGATAAGGAAGTGAATGAATTAATAGATTAGAGAGGTGAAGGCTAGGAATTATACGTATATGTGCCTATATATAGGAATTGGACCCATAGCTGCCTTTCAGCTTCAAAAACTGTGACTCAACCAATTAGACAGTGTCACCAGCTATTAAAAAAAGCTAAATTTCACATGGGATAGGCGCTCAAAATGTTGACAAGTGCTTTCTTCTATACAGTGGCTAAAAAGAAATAGACAGTTGTCAACAATACACTACACTTTACTCATTGCATTATATTTTAATGCATATTGTGGCATTTAAAGAGGATAGAATACTCTTTAATGTGGTATACTTGCATTTCAAATATCTTCAACAAATTTAGAAATTCAGGAGCTCATATAAACAAATAAATACTGCATTGCCACATGCTTGGATGCTGATGGCATGTGACCTCCATCCTTCACCTGTCTATCCCCACAAAAGAAAAAGATTTTGTTTGCTATTCATGTGAGCTTCAGAGTTTCTGAAGCTGTTGAAGATATTTGAAATGTAAGGAAACCACCTAAAAGCTTAGTCATTCCTCTTTCAAATGCCACAGGCCAGGTTAAATTATATGGAGTGAGTGCAGTATTGTCTATTGTTGAAAACTTTCCTTCTTTTTTTTCCACCCTGTATGTGGATCCTTCAGCAAATTTCTCTATCTCATTAACTTTCCCAACTGGAGGAGTGCTTCATAGGTGGCAATTTGTTGAGAAATATTGGGGGGGGTCAGAGAGAGTATTTCTTTGCAAGTATTCCTTATTTTCATGTTTTCATTGTGAGCCCTTTAGCCAAGTTTTTGGGGGGCTCAAGTCCCCTCAGCCCCTATGAATTGCTGCCTATGGAATGCTTTATACTCATTCCAAAGTTCTGAAGGCGGCCTTACCACATCTTGCATCATTTTAAATTTTTCCATAAAATGGGCATACCCATATCTAAACAATATCCATGACCTTTTTGACTTAGAATAACAGAATAAAAATTATTGCATACTTTTAGAACAAGCACTCCAAATTTCAGCTGTTTGTCCTAATTATTGAGTTCAAATGAAATTATGTTCAAATTCTTGCTGACTGAAGTCAGGAGAATAAGTTGAAAAATTATTTGTCACTTTTTTATAATAAAAAAGTCAACCCTAATTGCTTTCAGTTTTGCTTGATTCACATGGGTTTTTGTGCAGGGATGTTTTATCATGAATGAAAGTGGTGAACTCTTAATCATGCACATTTTCTCTCATCTTGAAGGTGAGAATTGCTGACATGCTGAGCTAATATAGTCTGCCTGAAATGTTGGCCATCCCTTGTTTCCTGATGCTCTTTGTAAACCACTCAGAATGATTTCAGGCTTATTGCTTTCCTACATTTAGAAACAAAGTTCTCTCAGCTTCATGCTGTCATGAGTACCAGCCATTTTGATATCTTAATCTAAAAATGATCTGAAACAGTTTTAAATTAATCAGGCTTTAACATCTTACTCTTTGTGAGTCAACAACAAAAATGCTATTGACCGCTGGGAGGGATAATACATTTTTCCCCCTGTATATTCACTGCATTACAAAGCATTGAAAATGTATGTCCTGAGACACTAATACCTTGTAACACAATGAATGTGTTAAAGTCACAGAAGGGACAGGGACTACCAGGTCCACCCAAAATTCTGGAACATCAATATTGTTTTTCGTTTGTGTGGTTGTAGGAGTGAAGGAAAAATGTTCCAACAATTTCTTTAGTTTGTTTACTCTGTTGGCTCTGCAAAAAAAAAACAAAATATTGGATTTCTCCTTCTGGAAATGGAGGCCAAGAGAGAGGCAGTTCTGCAGCTGCACAATGCTGGAAAGTGTCCCAGCGAGATTGTGAAGGAACTTCAGGGCCTTGCCATCGACAGGAAATTTTTCTGGAGGATGCTGAAACGGTTCAGTGAGACAGGCTCAACTGCTGACCATCCGAGGAGTGGTCGTCCGAGGTCCAAACATACCCCTGAGGCCATCAGGTCCATCAGTGACAAGATTCGTTGGAATCCACAGAGGAGCATGACTCAGATGGCCAAGGAGTCCAGCATGGGTGCTACAACAATGAGGAAATTAGTCCAATACGACCTCAAGATCTACAAGACCTACACCCTCCAGAAATGACAGATCTTGTCTGAGAACACAAAGGCCAAGAGGCTTGCCTATGCCAAGGAAATGTTAAAAAGCTGAAAAAGGTGAACTGAAGGACATTCTCTTCACAGATGAGAAGATGTTCACCGTCCAACACAGACACAATGACAGGGTTCTGGCCAAGGACATCAAACAGGTCCCCACAGAACTGAAAACAGCTTTCCAGAGGCAACATTCGGCGTCTGTCGTGGTCTGGGCTGGCATCACTGCCTCTGGCAAGACCACCCTCGTGTTCGTCCCCCCTGGAGTCAAGGTCAATAAGGATTTCTACATCAAACACATCCTGGAGGATGTGGTCACCCCCTGGGCCAAGAAGCCCTGGACCTTCATGCAAGACGGTGCCCCAGCACACACTGCCAAGGCTACTCAGGATTGACTGAAAAAGCAAGATTTTGGATTTCTGAGCAAGGAGGAGTGGCCCCCCCCTCTTCCCCCGATCTGAACCCCATGGACTTTTCTGTGTGGACCTACTTGGAGACCAAGGCCAGTAGCATCAACCACCCAAATCTGGACTCCCTCAAGTCGGCCCTGACCAAGGAGTGGGCCAAAATGCCTATGGATTATGTGTTCACCTCAGCCAACGCCTTCAAGGGACTTCTCCAGTGTGTCATCAAGGCTGGTGGAGGCCATTTTGAATAATTTTTTGTCCACATGTACTCTGATATGTAATAACCATCTATGAAAAATTTGAACTTGATTCCTCTAGTACTTCCTGAGTAAATCCAAATTTTCCATGTTCCAGAACTTTGGATTGACCTGGTATATCTTCAACTACTGTATTCCATGCCTTTACTACCTGACAAAGAATTCATTCTGCAACTTGAGGCTTACACAACTTGAACTGGTTCCCTTTTGTTCTGCTTCTATCATCAGGATGAAAGAACTGCTCCACATCTTCAAAGCCCTTATGATTTTAAATGCCCAGATGAGATTTTTATGCTTTGCTCCAGTGAATATTATCTAAAAAAATTGAGAGTAATAAAGGTCAGAATGGAGATTATGTAATGGTCTTCCCTAGTTCTGATGTCTTTCTTCTGCCAAATCAGTCTCACTATCTTGAGCACAATGAATTGAATTGACTGATTATTATTTTCCCTTGTTACAGGTGACTGGATATGATTTCAAGGCTGATATTTGGTCTCTGGGCATTACAGCAATTGAATTGGCTACAGGGACTGCTCCTTATCACAAATACCCACCAATGAAGGTCCTCATGCTGACTCTGCAGAATGATCCTCCTTCACTTGATAGCGGAGCTGAGGAGAAGGACCAGTACAAGAATTACGGAAAGACATTTCGGAAGTTCGTTTCTGACTGTCTTCAGAAAGACCCTACCAAGAGGTTAGATTTATCTTACTTCCATTAAAATTGAATCCCTGCATGAGTTGTGTTCAAATTACAATAATTGTTTGTACCAGGCTAAGAGTAAGGAGAATGCCCAATACGAGGTGGCAAGGTACCACCTCAATTTGACTTGTCATATATGAAATCAGATGGATTTCAAGCAGGAGGAAAAATTTATATGACATCTTCCTTATTGGATGTACAATATCAAGAGTTATAGGCCAAAAACTTTGTCAACAAGGCAAGACTGGACGAAGGAGGTGGTCTGGAAAGGCATGTAGTTAAGTGAGGTAACTACTCCATTCATGGGGGTTACAATAATACTATTTGTTCTAGCCTTCGTTGAAGATCAGATTAGAACTTTCTGTAAAAATTGTTTGATCGTAATAGGATCTTGTTAAACTTTACCTGATACTTGTAGTTCAGATGTTAATGCAATAAATAAACTCATTCCTTGTACCCCTAGAGCAGGGGTCTCAAACTCCCGGCCCACGGGCCGCATTCCCATGGAAAAACCCTATATACCGCCATGAGTTTGAGACCCCTGCCCTAGAGGATGGGGGTTCAGCAGGGGGTCCCAGTTGTGGCCACCACTTTTCATTAGGACATTAGGGTATGCAATACATTTATTGGTTGGTATACCGTGGCTCAATACCGCGGTATATCGGTGATACTGGCAAGGAGCAGGAGGGGGTGGTGCTGCAATTAGATACTCTCAGAATAATAATAATAATAAACACGAAGAGAGTGAGTATTTCTGTTGTGATGGTGTCAAGTGGAGGGCTCAAATTATGATTTCAGAAAAACGCATTGTGAAACACCATCTTATCATTGTGCATGACCATACATTTCATATTGGTATTGAGCGCTTAAGCTCACCGAGCAGAGGGGCTAGGAAAACCCCTGTGAACAAGGTTCGCGGAGATGCCTTTTCCCGGGAAATATGATGGGAAGGAATGGGTGAAAAGAGATAGAAAAAGTATTCATTCAGGAGGTGGGGCAAGAGAAAGTGCAATGACAGGATAAGGGTAGTAAACTTCATTTTTTCAAGTAAAAAAGAAAGGAGGAAAATCTATAGTTTAGGCCCTTCGTGGAGAGACAGCCATATCATCTTTTCATTTTCCGAATAAGATTGGAGCTTCAACCGTGAAGCTTGCTGCCCTTTTCACTGAAGGCTAATTAGAAATTGAATTCAACACGAACCCTGCCGCCCTATATTGCATGTCGTCGAGAGGTCGAGGTTCTGTCTACTGAATTAGGATCTTCCGATTCTCAGCTTTCATCTCGGATATGCTTTGTGAAACACGATAATATGTGTGCCTTTATCGTACTAGTACCTGGAATTCTGAAATTGTACTTTATCACATGATATAATGAGAATATCAAATAGTGAAATTATTTGTGAAGAATTGAACTACGTGAAGAAGGCAAGGTTGCCGACAGCATAGTTTACGCAATATATACTGCAACTTCTCGCGGTAAAAGGGGCAGATGCATACTTTCATTCCTCTAGTTCCATTCCCTCTTCGTCTTTCCACGCATGTGCCTAGGAATGGGTAGCATGAAGTCAGGTGCCAATGAAAGAAACCGCATTCAATGAAATCAGAAAACCCCTCCCGTAGTTCATCTTCTCTGGACTTTTTAGTTCTAAGTAGAATTGTGCGTAAGTACCATATCACGCGTGACTCACAACATTTTTTTTGAGTCGTTACTTGGGCTAAGGTTTTGCGAAGGCATTCATCATGATAGTGAGTTTTATTTTCTGACGCTATAGAGAAACCGCAAAATTTTCATATCCCTCTTTATTCGTCATCTGATAGCCGATTTCCTCAGTTCGACCATTGCAGGACCTAGCTCCTGTAATTACAGGAGCTAGGTCCTGCAAGGAGCTAGATCCTGTTATCTTAAGATGACAGGAACGCCTGAAAATTTGAAAATGATTTTTCTGTGCGAAAACTTGCGAATAAATAACAACCACGTGAATCAAGTGTCATTCGGCTACCATACAATTTCTTTTTCGATTTCCTATTTTTCATTACACTATGCCTATATGAATTGAGTATTTTTTTTATATATAAAAACATTTTAAGGGGAAAGGAAGAGCCGTCTCGCGCGCATGAAGCAAATCATGAGGAATCATGCTTGATTGTGCGTGAGTTCATTTCACAGTCTCAATGATCATGCATGGCTGTGGTTCTCAAATGTTATTGAATCAAGGGCTTGCGTGAAAGTGAGCGACAACATGGTTTCTTTTTCTCCTGATTGTGGGGCGGAAATCACACGCGCTCACCTCTACAGGGTGTTGCAAAAGTCTCTGCATTTTTGACTAGCTACACTTTCCTCACGTAATTCTTAATAAAACAGAAACTGGTCATACTTGTTTCAGCAATTGATACATCAGTAATTGATCATTCGACCATCAACAGCAGCTACAGCCTTGATCCTTCTAGGGAAAGATTCGACGAGATTTTCCAGCTTGGCCAGCGGGATTGAATTCCACTTTTCGGTGAGTCAAGTCACCAACTCTTCCCCTGTTTTGGGGGCGAGGAGGTTCGATGACGGAATCTTGTAGTATGGCCATGTATGCTCTATCGGTGAAAAGTCCGGTGATGCACAAGACCAGATTCCTTTGGACTAGACGTTCTGAACTTCCTCCCTCGGCAGCTGCAAGTTCTGGCCGGAACTGTGGCCTGGGGCCCCATCCTGTGGAAAGCGACCTTCCTTGGGTTTGGAAACAGCTTCCAATCCTTCAGGGCATCGAAGTAGATGAAGGATTGCCTCACGATTGTAGGCCCTGTCGATAGTCTGGCCATGAGGGATGACGAGTGGCGTTTTTCCCCGCGTGCAGATTCCATCTGCGACCATCACTTTCAACAATTTCTTTGGCACTTGTTCATTGTGCATCAGGTCAGGGTTGGTTGTCCGAATCACCTTGTTCCTTGAGTTTGGTTTGGGATACAGTTCAATCGGAGATTCGTCGGTGAACAGGATGTGTGCATGTAAACTCAAGGAACTCGACTCACCGAAAAGTGGAATTCAATCCCGCTGGCCAAGCTGGAAAATTTCATCGAATCTTTCCCTAGGAGGATCGTGGCTGCAGCTGCTGTTGGTGGTCGAATTACTGGTGTATCACTTACTGAAACAAATATGGCCAGTTTCTGTTTTGTTGTTAAGAACTACATGAGGAAAGTGTAGCTAGTCAAAAATGCATAGAGACATTTGCACCACCCTGTAGTTCCAAGTCTGTCACCTGAATGACTAGAAGAAGAAAAAGAGACATCCAAAGTTCCCCTTCATGATTTCTCCTGTCCAACTTTTTATCCATGGAGGACCTAGCAGTGAAAGCACTCACTCTTTAAAATTCCTGCCCCCCCCCCCCCCCCCCCCCCCCCCCCCCCCCCCCTCCCCACCCCC